AAAAAACTGATACCGATAATTAATCTCTTCAGGAAGTGGACAGAATACTGCCCAGTTCAGTTACTCTTTAAAGTAGTGTTAACAGCGACATTAGTTGCTACTAAAGAACTTCTGTCAGTTCAGACTTGAGGAAGTATTTTTTGCTGATAGGTGTTGCTTTGAAACATGTATGTACTACTTCTTTTTTAAAATGGAGAATTGAAAGGACAAAACAATATTAATTTGATCTAACAGACTGTCAAAAAATCATCCAGAGTTCTTAATTCTCCTGATAAAAATAATATGTACTTATGGAACTATTGAGCCAGGCAGGGTGACACACATCTGTAATCCCATTACTTGGGAGGCTGAAGTAAAAGAATCACAAGTTCAAGGCCAGCCTGGGCAACTTACCAAGTCCAAGGCCAGTCTGAACTGTCTAATGACATCCTGTCTCAAAGAAAAAAAAAAAGCACTTATTCACTTCCTCAGTTAATTTATCATCAAAACTGAGAAGCAAAATAAGAGCCCTTCTGGATAATATATTCTGTATCTGTGTTAACCACTTTTTATTATCTGTTTAGCTAGAATGCGATTTATATCTAAGACCTCCACTGTAATGTATTAACACAATAAAGTGAAAAAAGAGAAACTGTTTTTAAAATAAATTTAAAGCCAACTAAACTAGGGACTTTACTTTTACTCTCCCCATATAAAGGAATCTCAGATAAATTTGTACTCTCTGTTAGTTATGACTTCACCTACATATAAACTTTCTAAATGTTCATTTATTCATTTAATAAATATTTATTAAGTGCCAGGCACTGTGCTAATCTCTGCAGCCACGAGCTCCAATTCGTAAGAGTTCTACTTGTTACAGATGACTTTCAGACCCTCTTTGCAAAATCCCTCTTTTAAGATCTCTAATTCACCCATTTGAATATTATGATATAATATTATTAAAAGTCACAGAACATCCACGTTGGTCTTCAATTCATAGATTGCCAAATAGGCCCCTGAAGTAAAGTCAGAGTCGCAACCACATGTTATGTACATGAGCTTAGAAAAAAGTACACTTCACTCTATATTGTACTACTTACACAAATACCTTCACTTGGCCAGAAACTACCGTGGTATCTAGTGTAGGCTAGAATTACAACGAATTTTTATCTAACACTAAAGCCACGAGTAAAACGGTGCTGCCTAATCCCTCGTTAGATACTGCTTTATTCTTAATTTAGCAACCAGAAGTCCTAATGTTCCAATAGAAAATATTTCTACCCTCCCATCACCACCCGGCAGGCTTTTCTGTTAAGTCTGCATCGTTCATTAGTACTGAGTATTAGGAGGTAATTAACCTAAGGCCAAACGTGAAAGTAAATGGCAGTTAATACAATCAAGAAATTTCAGAACTGAATAGATTATCTAATTTTAATGTTTCATTTTAAAGATGACAAGACTGAGATCTGGAGAGGTTTGCTGACTTCCTCAAGGTCGCACAAGTTAATGACAGAGCTGTGGTGGTTGTTTTCTGACTCCTCTTCCAGTGCTCTTTTTAATACTTAAAAGAAACTGTTATAGGAAATTAAGAGGAAATTCTGAAAGGAAAAAATTACCTCTAATGACAAACATGAGTGAACCATAACTCAGACGCACTTAATAAGCTCTACATTAAAATTATGCTTTATTAAAAATAAAAAGTAAAGGAAGTCAAAGCTGAAAAATGATAGATTACTCTTTTGGGATATGACCTTCATACAGGTCAATCCAGTCATAATCAACTTTAAGAGCCTGCTCCAAATATTTTTTCAGTTCTGGAATTACTTCATATTGAATAATACTCAAAATTAACAGGCACTAGCCTGGGAAAAGAGATCTTTTTTATTTTTGGAGATTTCTGTTGTAATTGGGTTTTGACCAGGGAACAGTAAATTAAACCATGACTTCAAACTTTAACCTTAATTTCCTGTATCTCCAATTTTGGTTTCTTCTCTCCCTACCTGTACAAAGTAATAAAGACTAGAATTCTCATTTCAAGGTCACTTTTATATTTCAAAGTTTAAGTAGTTTCTCTCATTATGGTTGAATATAATTTCTTCAACATTTCTATACATACAAGGGTAAAATTCTGTTAGAGAAATAAACAATAAAAATTTTGTTAATAATCAAGTGGTAAAGTATGTAAGCCTTAGAAGAATGACTTTTACAACCCTTTAAAAATTAAGTGGTACCTGAATGGTTAAGGAATTAGGGAATATTCTTCTAGCAATTCATTTGCCATATTAGAAGAGGTCTGCCAGCCCTCTGTAAGAAAGACGCAGAGCTTCTCTGAGTTTTTGTCAATACTGGAGTGTGAGAATAAAATAAAAATTGTGTCGTCAGTAGGATGTATACATAAAATAAAGCAATCAAAACAATAGATTGAGGTGGTTATTTCTCAAACAGCATTTTTGTGGTTCTTATTAAAATCAAAGTAGTTAAATGAAAGATGGGACATATTTAAATGTTTCTGAAAGTCTGTTTTTTTGGAGAAATACAAATCTATTTGGATGTACACACGTATTTCTACAGTGAACTTAGTGAAGACAAGTGGTGTCTACTTCAAGTCAACCAGTTCTCCAACCACTGCCCGCATCGGAGTAAATCACATTCTCCCAGCAGCCCTTGCAGGTAGGCGCTGTTGTCATACTCTGTAAACCAAGAGAAAACTATCAGCTTTGTGGAATGTATCTTTGGATCGTTTTGTTATCAAAATGTAAAGACTTTCTCTGTCTCTCTCTCTCTCTCTCTCTCTCTCTCTCTCTCTCTCTCTCTCTCTCCCTGTGTGTGTGTGTGTGTGTTTTACAAGGGATTGAACCCAAGGCCTTCACAGAACTACAAGTCCTTTCTTATTTTGAAACAGAGTCACACTAAGTTGCCCGGGCTGGGCTCAAACTTAGGATCTTCCTGCCTCACTCTCCCTATGTGCTAAGGTTATCACTGTGTGCCACCATGCCTGGCTAAAATATTTATTTATTTTATTTAAACAATTTCATGTGAAAATTTTAGATTCATGAATGTCGGGTCTCAAGGACACATTCTTAATAAGTTGTTTCTGTAAACACTTAGCTCCCTCTATGTACAGCAAACCCACATTACAAGAACTGTGCTAGGAACACTCTATCATTGCCAGCGCCCCTATAGACTAAGTACCTTTCCTTAGCCCCACCCTAGTACATACTACACAGCCGTGAAAACGTCCCACATGGCACCAGGACCACACTGGTTGCCATTCTTCAAGCTCATAGACGGTGCAGCAGATAAGCCTTGTCAGTCCTACCCCGGGACTCCCTCCAGATGTAATCCAGCCCCTGCCCTGTCCTTAAACCCACTGCAGGGCCGTGCAAAGGCTCTCGGGCCTGCCCACACCCCCCGCCTCACCCTCCTCCACAGCCCTACACGGCGTCTGCGCAGGGCACCGCGGGCCGGGAGGGCACTGCGAACAGCGGCTGGCGCCTTCGGGAACTAAGCCGCAGTAGCCCCTCACGCTACCAAAAATAGAGCTAAAATCTCCTTTTTAGAATAAGTGTATTTGCTATTCAAACACAGCCTCAAGACAGATGCCTTACCTCACCCCTTCCAACTGCCATCTCCGCTCCCCGCATACACACTTCTAGAAAACCAGCACTGGCCTTCCTGCACGCTCGAGCAAGTCTTCACTAAATGCCAGGGAAGCCACGTTCTTCCATTCCTTCCCCAAGATTTACGTTACTTACAACACTGAGGTACTTTAATTTGGCTATGTGTCCTTCCGCGCCTCTTCCGCCTGCCCTCACGCTCCAAGCTACCTACTGGAAATAACCTGCATGTTTCGGACACACGGAGCTCTCGCAGGCCTTCGTTTTTCTGCCCTGCTAGTCTGCACGTTAGAACGCCCTTCTCCCTCCCGGGCCACGCGGCTAACAGCTGCTCAGGGTTTGGGATCCACCTCGGGCACCATCTCCTCCGGGGAAGCCTCCTAAAACTGCAGAAACCTTACCTCGCTTTCAAAATTTCTTCTTCTAAAGAAAAGATAGGCCCATCTTCCTGTGAATTCCGTTAATACCCTAGGCGTAAATGCCTCTGGGCTAGTTGCATCATTACATGGTTCAAGGTCCTCACACACTTCCATCTCTACCTTGTACTTGTTGGAAGCAAAGCAGCTTTGCCTTCTCTACCACTGTATCCTCACCGCTGAACACATGCCTGGTCTCAGAGTTCAAAACCAGGAAATGTTCAGTGAGTTAGAATTAAACTCTCCATCTCATATTATAACAGAGGTATGTACATTAATGAACATGTAAATAATATTGATAATCATATTCACAGAAATAAAATACTGGACCATTATGGTTCTCACAATAATACTTAAACATTAAATTTATGATATATATGTACATGTGAAAATTCTGAATTCCACAGTTCACTTCTTTAAATGCTTAAAAATCACATCCTTAAGAAGCATAAGAATTCTAATTTATGATCCAGTTCACACATGCTGTAGTAGCTGTTTATGTGTCATTGTTAGGCAGAGCATCTTTTTAACCATAATACAGAAGTAACTTCATTATGCTAAAGTTGTTCATTTTACTTTCATAAAAGAAAGGCCACATGTGGAATGAAAGCATTTTCATTACCCTTTAGCAAGATGAATGTCCTATTTTGTGTGATTTGGGGCAATTTCTTACTACAACTGCCAGGGTCTATGAACATTATGATTTGCAGATGTGTAGTGTGCATTAAAGAGCAAGAAGATATCATGGAACATTAGTAACAATTATATATTAGGCAGGGAGACCAGACAGTGGCTCCAGGAATTGGAAGGACTGAGGAAATAAATGTTACTCAAAGTAGAGTGGTGACTTATAACCAATTTCCGTCTTCAAATCGGGGTCCAAATGAAAGAAAACGAAGTTCAGCAAGGTATGGTGGTGTGTCACGTCCTGCAGCAAAACGCCTGCTCAGCCCAGTACCCTCGCTACGGACAACAGAACAAGCAGCACCTGAGGGGAGCCCGCAGGCTCGCAGGGCGACTGGCTGGCTCTTCGTCACCAAGTGCAGCAGGTTGAATGCAGACATCACTGTGATATCTTCACCAACGGAACGAGAGGCCAAGAACAGGAGCAAGAGCTGAGCAGGAGGAAAAAAAGACAAATTTAAATATCTCACACGTTACACATATCATCGGAGTGTGACTAGAGTTACAGCTGTATCTGGAATGGGACACTCACACACGCGAATTTCTATTTTTAAGATGAGGGGCTCACTTTCAACCCAGGCTTATTTATAGTTTATGAATAAAGTACACACTATATAATAGCAGTGGGATCTGTGTACACATATTCCAAGAAGTTGAAGTTTAAAATAGGTGAAAGGAATTAGCTTTTACTGAATTTGTACCATGTGACAGGAGCTGTCTGGGACTTTGTATAGATATATAGATATAGATAGATAATTGTAGTATTTAATTCTCACAATAAATGTAGGAGGTAGGTTTTATCCCCTAATACTTATGACAGAAAATCTAGGCTCTGAAGTCCAAGGGCAGTGAGAAAATAACCCATGAAGAAAAGATTAGAAAACCCTGTTGCATCTCACAGCAAAGCCAGATTTTTTCCTTATACCATGTTGATTGACTCTTCCAGCAAATTTTTGCTAGTCTCCCTCCCTCAAGAAGACTATAAAATAGTGTAAGATTAAAACACTTCTTTTGTTAGAATTTCTTTTTTTTTAATAGAGTAAAAAAAAAAGTACCTAAGGGTAACTAGGAGAATTCTCTTCAGAAACAGTGCTGTTTAAATAAAACATGGAACACACGAATTTTCATTTAACTTTATGATTTATAATTTCTAAGTAAGTTCTGTGAACAATTCTCGTGATCTAGCATTTAAAAGCACAGACATTTCTCTAAAGTCTTTGGAAATGAATCATGTGGAAGAATCTCAAAATTGCAGAGTAGTAAATTCTAGAGAAAAGTTTAGTTTTTAGGATTTTCATAAAAGTTCTGTAACAGTATTGCAACTGGTAAAGATTAACTTCATGTGAAACCGGAAAATACTAGATTAATGTCAACTTCTTACATCTTATTTAAAATTACCATTTTAAGTAGTTTTAACCACCAAATGCCCAAAAATGGATACAAAATTAACATTTGCTCATTTCCTGACCACCACCTCCACCCCACCCACCCCTGCACCCCAAAATCAAAGTCCCTTCCTGGACTCTTCTGACCTCCTTGAAGAACAAACACATAATAAGCAGCAATATATTTTACCAAATCACTCTGGAGTACGTCTGACAGAAATCTGCTTGTATTAACACGCCTGAACTCTGACTTCTCTAAACTAAACTCGCTACAAAACTAAAACATTTTTGTGTCACCGACTGGAGACAAAGGGGAGGGGGAGGGAAGGTAAGTGCCACAGCGCTCAGCCTGAAGGAACCATTAAACATAAATAAACATGTCGTTCCCGTGAGTGACTGCAGAGCGGCGGGAGATAGCACGCTTTTGGAGCAGACTACTGACTAATAAAAGATCAAAGATCTATACCTCCCAGCACTATAAATAAAAAGGTATTTTTTCTGGAGCCCCTCCTCTGCGAGGAATGAAATGTGCGCGGTGAATGTAATGGCTTAGGAAAGCTGCAGTCCCACTGTGGACCTTCAGCGGACTGTAAAACGTCTTCCTATTCTGTTTCATCAACTGCTGTACCAGGCAGCCTGGGCGCCTACCGATCCCTCGGGCCATCTGGCCTGTGTCAAAGCCAGCGCACAGGAAGAAAGGCGGTAATGCCACCCTGCAGGTCAGGCAAGGAACAAAGATGCATTCTACACCGGGGGCCCTCCCGCATGATATGGCTGGGTAATTTAAGGCTGTGATTGCCTGGCCTGTTTTCTACCCAAATAGTCAGAGCTCCATCTAGTGGCTCGTTAGTTTTGCCCAGTTTTTTTAAATTTTAAATTATGTACCCACTGGTTCATTTATTTATTCATTTTAAGAGCTGACATAGTGCTACATCAGTACCAACAAAGGAGAGCACCTACAATGATTACTTTTAGAGTAATCTCGCCTGCCTGGCAAGCGCAAGGTCATGAGTTCAGTTCCCGGTACCGGAGAAAAACCAAAAAAAAATTTTAAAAATTAGAGTAATCTACTCTTTTTATACTGAAGATGCAAAAAAATAATCTGTCACAATGTTCTTCATTCTCAATTCTACAAAGAATGCATTTCCAAAGTTAGGGTTCGATACAGTCCTCAGTATTTTAACATTCACAAGGATGACAGAAAAAGCAGCTAAGGTCACACAATGCATGTAAAGTAGCATTACTTACACACTGTCCTGAAACTATATAGCTGAGACGTCAAGTGAAAAACTGCTGTAGACAATGCACTCTTGCATCCAGATGCCCTGCTAGGTCAAACCCTAATCTTGTATTTCCGTGGAACAACAGAATCACAGTGAACGTGGCTCTGACATGGGACAGTAGGATTAACTCTGCAAAATACTCTTATGCTGAAATGTTTTGACAAAACGTGTGTGTGTGTGTGTGTGTGTGTGTGTGTGTGCAAGCGTGTGGTCTGTGGTACTGGAAATTGAACCCAGGGCCTTTTCCACTGAAGTACATCCTCAGCCCAGTTGTATGCTTTTATTTTGAGATAGGGTCTTGCTAAGTTGCTAAGTTTCCTGGCTGAGTAGCCCATCGTGATTCAGTCTCCCAGACGCATGTACCACCACAACAGGCTAAAAATATTTTTTTTTTTTTTGGCTAATAGCACATAGATATGCCCAGGAAATATTAGTCACTAGTATTATTTAAATGTTTCAAATATCTGCTATAGTTGAAGTTGTGTAAATCACAGCCCATTTATACTCAGTTTTCAGGTCATTCTCCAAAGGACCCTATGTAGACTAGAAAACTTACTACTGTAATTGTTATTTTTTGTTTGTTTGTTTGTTTTTGTTTTTCTTCCAGTACTAGGAATTGAACTCACAACCTTGTGCTTGCCAGGCAGACGCTTTGCCACTGAGCTAAATCCCCAGCCCCTTGTAGTTGTTATTCTATGATGAAATATTCTACAAAAAAAGCACAGTAAAGAGACCCTAAAGACAATAGTTGGCTAAGCACTCAGCATGTGCCAGGCATTATTTTAAGCACTTCACTTTTATTAGCTCTTTTAACCCTCACAACCTTAAAAGATGTACACTATCATTTTCCCATTTGAAAAACAGAGACTAAGGCTTAGGGAGATGGTGCAATTTGCCTTAAGCAGCAAACAACCCATGGCGAACCTATGGCACGTGTGCGGCAGCAGGCTGTTTGTTATCGTTGGAAGTTCTAAAAGGTTCGCCATCACTGCCCTAGAGTCTCATAGCAAGTAAAGGAGGAAAAATCCTAAGCAATTGAGTAATTAAAAGTTTGAACCCAAGCCCTCTGGCTCCAAGACCACTGCTCTTGACAATTACACAACAGAACTCTATATACTCTGACCAATCCACTCTACAGGTAAGGTATCAATCCATGCTGCATACTCTGATTCTATGTCTTACCAGGTACAATGGCTAAACAAGTAGTAAACAAGTAATAATGGAACTTAATTCTAGAAGAGTGCTTAAAAATTTTTTTCCACCAACACCGAGAGGAAAAAGTAGGAAGCGATGTAAATGAAAAGTCTGAAACACTCTTTAGGTTTGTATACTTGACCTTTCTGTTCCACCAGATACGACTTTAACTGCTCTTTCACCTTCAAAACTTTTCTCTAAATTTCTTGGATACACCTGCAGAATATATCCTTGACTGCACTTTAACCTACCAAAACTTAAATATATTTGAGGACCAAATAAAACATCAGACACTCCTGTTCTCCAAAAACAATCAAGGTTTCAGTTTCACAGTTTTCTTCTTTTTTAAATTTAATTTAATTTTTAAAAGGCAATAATAAAAAATAAAAATGATACAGAATTTCATAACAAGACGATAGGAAATTAACAATGGTTTTTTACATTGCATATTGTTGTCTTCAAGGTAGTTGCTCAGATTACCAGATATAGGCTTGCAAGCTTGGTTGTACAGTATAAACACTAACTGTTGCTTTCAATGAACTAACAGAACTTAGTAGCACAGTTATGCTAGCTATCATATATATATAGTCCTTCCTCTTCTCTCCTTTCCCCCTTCCCAGTTATTCTTTACTCCCTGAACTGCCTGTGTAAAGACTCTAGTCAGAAACAATCCTGGTCCAAAACGAGACAAAAGAAGCACATAACAATCTACAGCGAAGAATTATCACAAAGCATCTTACAGAAATCAGCACTGAACAAGAATCGCCAGAACATCCCGAATTCTCCCAGTGTATCCTCAACTTCCTCACTTTTACATTACTTTCACCTCAAGCCAAAGAGTGATTAACATTTACAGATAAGCCATGTGGTTTTTTATTGAAAGCCAGATAAAACATCTCATGGATCTTTCTAAGCTCCCAGAACATCTGGTCACAAACTTGAATGTGCAGGGGTTAAAAATTCTTGTTGAACAGTACCTCATGAGGACTAGCACACAGTGTGTTGAGAGCAGAATTAGATTACACGATTGCTGAGAATTTACTGCTTCAAACGTTTCATGATTTGCCATTGCATGGTGCGGCTTCCCAAACCACATTCTGAAAGTCAGAGGGTAGCCCTTCTAACACGTCCGGCAGTCGCACAGTCATAAAATTCTACCCTTTGGAAGAGCCTGAGAGGTCTTCAGTAAATATATCTGCTTAACTTCAAGTGCTATATTTGAAGTATTTGTGACCATACAAAACCCTTTTCTATCCTGTCATACCCCACCAAACACATTCTGGTAAATCCTTGGGGTAAAGTCCAAATTCCTAAACAAAGCATCTAAACTTCTGCTACATGCCTCTTCCGCCTTCTCTCTTACCACACCTCTGTACCTCACGCCACCCCACACTTATGATTTCCCCAATACGCTCATGATTTCCCCAAAAGGACCACTATGTCCTACCTCCGCCTCTACGTCTTTATTCTGTATTAGCACCCTATGCCGGCACTTCCAACTTCTCTCACTCCTAAACTCTAGCTCCAACTCTAGTCTCTCCTGCAGTGCCCGCCATACTATTACCTACCCTACGACAGTTTCTGGGGCACTGATCTGCTTTCATCTCTTCTTCAAAACTATAAATCTCTTAAAAACAGGGACAGTGTCTTTTTCATCTTTGTATCCCAGTACTGGCACATAAAAGCCATTCATTTATTGAGTTAAAGACCCAATATAAATTGTTACATAGCATCAACTGTTCAGGATCATCCTTTCCAAAGCTGTCCCTGTCAGCTCATTCTGTGTGTTTCAGAATTACTAGCAGTTCTGATAAAGAGGTGGTAAGCTGGAAATGCAACCTGATCTGAAGTCCAAAGAAAATTCAAATGCCTTAGTCTAGTAAAAAAAAAATTTCTACTTCTCCAGAAAAAAACAAATAGTTTTACTTTTTTCTCCCAGAATTCTAACACTGCAAAATTTGACTAGAATTGTTTGCTACTGTTTTGTTTTGTTTTTTCTTTTAATTTTTTTCCCTGCAGTTGAACGATAAATTACTAAAGAGAGGTGGTATCAATAGTGAATCCAGGGATCTCCCAAAGTTGGTAATTAGCTTCAGTTTAAGTGACAAACCTAAAGGTTGGGTCCCTTTCCAATACATGCTATAGGAATGTCTACATCCGTGGTTTTTGACAGCTAGAAAAATACCCAGTAAAAGTGCAGAAACTAACAAAGAATGAACAAATATGAATTCTGTCAAGTAGGAATAATTTTTTTAAAACCCACAAAACCCTCATTTCATCATAGATATCAGAAAAGAAAAATTATATTAACACTAAAAACTAGGGCAACAATCTCAAGACAAAGAACATTTTTTTAAGTAGAATATATTAAGTTTTGGAGGCAGGGTTATTGTTACTATTTTTCTCATTTTGTGTAGAAGAAGCTTTATCCTGTGCCAGGATTTGGAAACCACTAATCTAAATTTCTATATGAATTTCAATAAAAGTGTTTTTAAGGAGCACAGTACCTGACACCCAGGTTATGTTCAACTTATGTTCACTGAGAGATTTCACCAATCATTTAATTGCTGCCTGAAATCAATAGCCACTGGTTTAGAATTTGTTTGATTAAACAGTTGTGATTATACTTGTTTGAAGAAAAACCTCAGAACCCTAACTATTGAAAATCCTCAATCTTCTAAACCAGAGTTAAGCGACTTTGAGACAAAGGATTTTTAAAATTACTCAATTCGCCTACATAAATTCTTACTACATGCAAAACAATACATCATGTGCTCGTGAATATACAAAAATATAAGGTATAGCTTATGCCGTCAGAAAAAATATCCTAAATAGCAACATGAGATATGTAAGTGTCTTAACAGAATTAGAAATAAAGTGCTATGAAATTTCAAAAGAAGGAGAACTGCCTCCGGGTCCAGGACGGCTGAGACGCGTGGGGAGAGGAGGTGCTGCGTAAGAAAAGGCGTCTGAAGGAGGGCTCCATGTTCATCCTTTCATTTTTGTATCTGCAGTGCTGCCCATTCCAAACTTTTGATCTCAGCATTCTCCACATTTCCAGCACTTTTGCTGATGCAGATACGCCTGTCAGTATCGTTACAGTTTAGATCTACAAGGCCCCCAAAAGTCGCATATGTTCGCAGGCTGGACTTCTGGAAGATGACTGTCCGGAGTTCAGAGGTCAAGTGCTCTCAGGCAGCGGGGTCGGCGGGGTCTGGTCAGCAGAGTCAGGTCCCTGTGGCACGTCCTGGACAGGCGCCTCTCCCTGCCTCACTCCTCCCTCTCTCTCTGCTTCCCGGCCGCACCGACACAAGCAGCCCTCCTCTGTCAGCCACTTCCACCACGCTGCTTCTGCCTGCAGCCAGCTGGCCATGGGCTGAAAATGTGAGCCCAAAGAAACCTCTTCGTTGATTTGTGGGTGTTTGTATATTTTACCCCGGTGACAAGAAAGTAAGACAAATATTTACTACGTTAGAAATTATAATTGACAAAATTTTAAAATATTTGCTATTGCATTAAAAATAGCAATACGCCAGGGGTGGTGCCACAGCTCTGTAATCCTAACACTTAGGAAGCTGAGGCAGGAGGATGCCATGAGTTTGACAGCCTGGGCTGCATAGTGAGTTCAAGGCCAGCCTAAACTAGAAAGCAAGACCTATCTCAAAAGAGCAAACAAATAATAACAATAATAAATTTTAAAATAACTTGCAAAACTGAATGTATTAAAAATAGTACAATTTTTTTATTTGAACTGACAAGGTGAATACATTTATAAAAAATGATATTTTATTGAATAACTATATCCAAAACAAAATCTATTTCTCTTTCTCTCCCTCCCTCTCTCTCTGTCTCTGTCTCTGTCTTTGTCTCTGTCTCCCTCTGTCTGTCTCTCGAGTTCAACATTTTAAAATTTGGCTTAAAATAGTTAAGATTCCCATTTCTGCTTCTGCAATCAATCTGTTATAGTGTTGTTTTGGTTTTTGGCTGAAGTATATTGGCGAAGAAAGTCTAGCCACACACAGAAGTACTTGGAAAAGGAAGGAGTATTTTAACAACCTTCCCGTATAATGATAGATATTCTTTGCTACCACAATCAAAATCAACAAACGATAGTCTGAAGCTGCATCCATGAATTTCTCATACTGTTCCACCGAACCCACTGGACTACCCTGAATTTTGATTTGACCGTATTCTAAAATTTAAATTTTTAACTTGAAAACTCAAGTATTCTTACGGACCACAAATACTGTCAGTGTTTCCATAAAGTGAAAAAAATCACTTTGTTCACTTTTGAGAATATGCTTGCCAAATAACCAAGTCTAAATAATTAGAATTTGCCTGGCTGCCCTTCCTGCAAGTAAAACGGGGTCTCAAACAGTGCCACAGTGCTTTCCCAGAGACAGTTCTGCTTTGGGACCCAGAAGCACCCTATAAGGTACGCTTTCCACTTCTCTATATGGAATATGAAATATATATATATATATATACTCATTGGGCAATATTTAATAATTTTAGTACAAATTGTACTACTACATCAAGGATATTTTTTAATTTTTTTTAAATAAAAGGAGAAAAACATTGACAGACAGACAACCTTTTACAAAATAGCAAAAGAACAGTACAGACAATACAGAGTTACAAGCAAAGTGGTAGGACATTAACAATGCTTGTTGTGTTACATATTGATATCTTCAAAGTCACCTCATGACTGAAATTGTCTTTCCCTCCGTATACTGATTAAAAACTGAATGACATTAAAGTTTGTTGCCTTGATTCATACCAAGATACTAGCAGTTTTATTCACTTTACACTAGTGCAAACGTGAAGAGAGAAAAACAAACAAAAAAACCCAAAAAGACAACTGGTGTCAGTATCAAAATAGCTCTGACTCGGTAAATCCCGAGAAAGGGTCTGCAGGGGAGCACAGCGCACTTCGAGAATTGCTGGCCTGACTCACTGTCCGGCACACAGTGAGCACACTAAAAGTTTAATCAACGTTCATCAAATAAATGAACAAAGAATGGACGAGTACATTTAGAAATTGTCCCACAATATTTAGGAAATAATGAAGAGAAGATAATGTCAGTAATCTTTACGGCACTTTACCACTTCTAGATGCAATTAGCACATTTCGTATCCCATGTAGACAGAGGGCAAATGCAAAACTGCACTATGTTATCAAAGTGTGGGAGACTAGTTACGACAGATTTCTGAAAACGGCAATCATAATTCACAAAAACATATGTCCTGCTAAGGGATAAAAAAACAAAGTCTGAATTAGTTCTATCTTCATAACAGGCTAATTATTTCATTAATAAATTCAGTATATTTTAAATCCGTATCACATACGTGTTGTGGTACCTGTTAGTACAACAACCAGGGAAGCGGAAATGCTGGAGAATAACAGAATTCTAGCATTAGGGAAGTTTCAAATGAGGTAAAATCTTGGAGAACACCTGGTAAAGCAGAAATCACCATTTACAAGCACCAAATATTAATTGTGAAGTGTCTTGTTAAAAATTGTCTTTGTATACCGAAGTTTGAAGATAAGGACTGTGAAAGAAGCAATGTGATGGATTTAGAGTCATCTCTTTAGTTGGGCGATTTTTTTTACTTACTTTCTGGGAGGTTTTTGTGCGGAAGAGCAGAGTGGAGTGAGACGCACCAGGCAAGGCGCTCGGTACAGCACGCAGGCCGCACCGTCGGCTCCACAGCCTGCAGTGACACGCCCCACAGAGCAGGCAAACATGTCGGCCTCCACCACGTGAATCTCAGTGGGGAAAAATAGAAACAAATCTCTTGTCTTCCAAATAGCAAAACAGATGACACTGGCCAAAGGTCAGTTTGAAGAACTAATTATAATTCTATGTTGTAGCATCTCCATTTGCTTACCAGGCGCACATGAAAAGTACAAAACAGGAAGACGCAAAGCAGTGTACTAATACTGACAATGTGCCGGTTACACTGTAGCACTCAAAAAGGTACAGGAAGGGTAGACCTGAAACAGACTTATGGACCAAAGCTCAATTTCTGGCGCCATTAGAACGCTATTGAATTCAATCTTTTTTTCCACTCTTCCTGAAAAAGCATATAAAGTTCTATGCAGCAATCAGTCTAACACAGGAATTTATTTGTCTGCATAGTAACACTTTACATTTTTCTCTTGCCTGTACACAACACATACTTGCATTATTTTAAAATGTACGTTGCTTTCACCGTTCACAGCTTCTGTGTTACAGATACATAAATATATGCCATTAAAATTTCTTAATATTTAAAGTGTCAACAAGAAAGTACACCTCACATAAATTGTTCTTACTTTATTAGTACACGTTTGCAGTCCGTGAAGTTCACACTGATCTGGGAGAGGAGGCGCATGTACATATCACAGCTTGTTTCTTTTTTGAGTCCCCATTCCCTTCCCCCACCTTCACCTCTAAAAATACCTTCAATGGCTATAAAATGACATGCCACAAACATGAGCTAAGGATAGCAATAACACTAAAAGCTGGGCATGGTGGCACACCCCTGTAATCCCAGCACTTGGGAGGCTGAGGCAAGAGGATTGCTGAATTCCAGGCTAGTATGGGCTACATAGTAAGATCCTGCCTCAAAAAAAGAAAAAAAGAAAAAAAGAAAGAAAGAAAGAAAGAAAAAGAACTATAACGCTAAGAGTAAAAATGGTGAAAGAGGATTCAGAGCTCCATAAATCATCTTGGTTATTATAAAAACACACTTAGGTTTATTCAAGTGTAGGGTTGCTTCATTTCACTGTTTCTAAATAGAGCTGTTCTTAATTCTGCTTTTCCAGTTCCTAAGTTCAAATTCAAACACACTATCATTAGTGCAAGAAAGAGACTAAGCCATGAGAAACATTTCCTGTTGTTATTTAAACATTTTCGTGTGCTCGTGCATTACTACAACATTATTACTAATAACCACTGCTGAGCACCACTACATAAGTGTGTTTGTGTGGTGGTCAGTGTGGAGGCGGGCTACGGCCACACCTCCCCAGGTGTGTCTGATCTCATCTGATCAGTGTGCAGGCGTGTGTATAATCTGATTTTATCCTCATATCCACGCCCAACTAGGTACTTCCAATGTGGCAGTCACTATCATCACTCAACAAGTATTTCTGGATCTCCATTTTCCAACACGTGGTAGAAATGCACCTCACGGCCCCCTTGTGACTGACTGGGCAGGACCATGTGCTCGGGGCAATAATGAAATTATGAGCATGGATGACGGTATATAACACATTCAAGCCAGAGCACGTAACTGCTGGTGTTAAACCCTCCATAGCTTTCTTTTGCTTTGTAATATACAAGGGACAAGCAATGTTCTACAATTAGATAACAGCTGCACCTCATCCTGGAGGAAGTCCATGGATAAGGAGCAGAGCTCCTAACCACGCCTCGGTGAACATGTGGTACAAACAAACAAAAAACCAACCTTTGGCATGTGAAGTCATTGGGATTTGGGGATTCTCCGAAACTGGAACTCAGAGATTAATTTGCGGGAGGCTAGATGGTCAGTAAATGATACACTCAGAATTTAGACTAAAATTTCTCTTTTACCACATGAAAAATTCCCCAAGTTTAGGAACTCCTCTGCTTGAGATTATAGTCCTTATTTATAATCTCCTATACAATTCAGGCAAAATGAAGCACTCAATTTGAAAGTTTCCTTGTTATAAATTATGATTATGATTAAAGAAACATAATTTTTAAAAGACAGAGAAAGAGTGAAAGGAGAGTGAAAGAGAGAAAAAAGAAAAAGAGAGAGAACAACATAGTCTGAGAGAATGAGAACTGTGACGCCAATGCCAAGACCCCTCCCTCTGGTCCTCCCCTCTATGACTAAAAAGCCCAAAGAAATTCTTAGTTTGGTCAGAAGACACGACCGTCCTCTTACACCTAAACACTAAAGGCCGGAAATGTGCTGCTTACGCTTGAACAACCAGAGCTGACAGACTGGTCCCAGACCTCCAAAAACTAAAGATTTCACTCAGCCTCAAAGCTGAGTAGCCCTGCTGGGGACAGCTCAGTGGCACAGCGCCTGCCTGGCATGTGCAAGGTCCCGAGTTCAAGCCCTGATACAGAAAACAAAGAAAACTCTGAGTAGCCCCTGGTTACAACAAAATGAGTGGATGTGAAGATTTTATTCCCTTAAGTGATTGCAAGTTCCCTGAGCACTAACCATCCTCACCACAGCTTTCTCAGTGACCCAAGAGGTCTGTGCCTTGAACCAGGCCCTAGAGATTTTAATCCAATCTGCTCAGATTTTTAACCAGTGAAATAAATATAAGAAAAGAAAGAACAATCCAGTCACCTGCCATTAGGAAAATATATTTCCCTTTTAGAGGCCCAGAGATCATAACCCTGGACCTCAAGAAAAAATCATTGCAACAGCTCATTCTTTTAACCCAGAAGTAAGAACACTGTCCTGATAACACAAGCTTTTGGAAAGAACCTATGGACCAAGGCTCTGAACACACTGCAAATATTAACCTCACACTGTAAAAATAAAAACTACGTAATAATGCAATGTAAGGAAGGCCAGAAAGAAAAGTGAAGGAAAGGGTGTTCCTATCAGCCTTCTTATCTTTTAAGAGTTAGGAAGTACTGACTAGGTTGGCAGAGGTAGAATCCATTCTCTTTCTTCATGTTAGTAATAGAACCCCCGAAATTTCAGCTAAGGTGCAGCCACAGTTATCGAGCTCTTTTGTAGCTTGACGTGAACATGATACAAAGCTTTGGTAAGTGGTGTGTAAGTCAGTATGATGTCTTATCTTCCAGGTCATCCTCACTTGCTTTGGATTTCCTCTTGCCTCCTAGGAAATGGTAACAACCGCCTCCACACTCTCAGACCTGAGATGGAACCTCCTTGAAAAGGAGGCAGACCCAACAGGTCACGAGGCACAGATGCTCACCAAACAGGATGGAGAAAGAAACTTCTGTTGTAATTTCTTCTCTCAGCAGCTTAGTGTAGAGTCTATCACAAGCTGATGAGCAAATATAGCATTTAATAGCCCAAAAGTGAACAACTGGGGCATAAAATATCAACACAAATAGTAAACAGTGGAAAACAGAATGATGAGATAGTAGAAAAACCCTTATCATTCATAACTGTATATTATCTGAAATTGAATTAATAAATAGTGCTATAACTACATTAAGTAAAATAACAGAATTAACTCCCAGAAGAATAATGATGTGAAACTTTACTTCTGAGGAGTAAGACAGAGGTAGGGAGGGGTGAAGCTGGAGACGGCTGCTCTTCACCTTTGCGTTCCCGAACTAAGCACCACACGCAAGTATTTGATAAAAATAAAGCTGACACATGCACACACACAAAAAAGACGCAGTGCCTCACTGATTGGACCATTTAATCTAAAGAAAAAGCTTGTCGAGGCTGGATGGGTAAATTCTACAACCGGTAGCATAACCTAGAGCATCTCTATTCATCACTAAGGGACTCCTTCTAATGAGTTGAATATAAGGATCAAAATACATGTTCTCAAGTCATATTTCAAAGACGGTCATGCCTCAGTTCATGAACACTTCTGAGACAAAAGTGCTCAGCAAAAGTTCGCTCGTGTTCACAAACTCCACACGGGGTGACAGTCACGATCACAGCCACGTTCCCCACACAAACATAAGCACAGCCACCGTCCCCAAAATCATAAAACAAATGAAGTTTGTAAACCCCGTACCGCTATATTTCGAGTCAGGATTCTGTCACCATCCCAGAAATAGAAAGTTTTAGTACTGGAAAACTGCAAGTAAACACTTGCTCCTGTATCAGAATTTTACTACCTTACTCCAAGTTTACTTTTTGCTGCAAAAAATAAGAAAATCTCATCTGACATGGCGGATAACAGAGAAGTTCTATGAAAATAAACTCCACTGATAACGAACCTTAGTGCCCTCTATCAACTATCCTTTGTCACCATGTTGGGCCTGGGAGAGAGACATCCTAACAGAAGTCATAAAGAGAAACTAAGAAAGTATTTTGCAATGGTTTTCTTCATTAATTTTAAGTGATTAAATCGTGTTTTAAAAAGAACTGAGGTGCTCCACATGTACTGAAAACTACTTTTCCTATCCCATAATCTCTTCCTTTTTTCACTAGTTCATTAGTCTTTCTGGATCTCGGATTCTGTTAAAAAGTCCTCCCATCTGTCTACTGTACTCACGGATGCCACACACCTGGGAGATACCTTGATTCTTTTCCTTAACCATTCATATCTAAGCAACATGAGGCGCTGTCAAATTCCCTGCTAAGCTATTGCTCAAAAACAAGCTTTTCATCTCTCACCTAGAACGGATAGTGGCCCCTCACTGGTCTCTCTGTCCCGAATCCGATCCCGTCACATCGCTTCCTCTCTGCTGCCAAAGCAGAGTATTGCTTCTGACTGTACCACAGCCCTACGCAACACACCCTGTGGCTCCTTAGCATACATAGAGGAAAACGCGGCCACTCCACCCAGGCATTCCACACCTAGCAGGTTCACTCCTTTTCCTTCTTACATCATTTCAGGCCTCACTACGGCCTCGTACACTCCACACTCCACAAATGCCTTGTCTTTTACCTTATCCCTAGTATCTCACACAATATCTAGCTTAGCAGGCCTTCAATATGTATTTGTTAAATAAATAATATGATGTTCTGATGAGAGTCAGTGATTTGCAGTT